TTGAAGAAACAAAAAAATATAAAAACTGGAATTGAAGAAACAAAAAATTATGAAATCGGAACATTGAAAAACCGAAAAATTGTAAAAATAAAGAAAATAAAAAACCGAAGCGAAAAAATTTCAAATCGAAAATTTGAAGAAATGAAAAATTAAGGAATCGAAAAATTAAAAATTGAATACTCGAGAAACTTAAATCAAAAATTGCAAAATTCAAAAGTCCAAAAATTGTAAAACCGAAAAATTATATAATCGTCAAAATTTCAAAGTCGAAAAACTTATAGTGAGAGATTGAAAAATTGAAAAATTAAATATCGAGAAATTCAAAAATTAAAAATCGAAAAATTCAAAAATCAAACAAATGGAAAAGTTTTAAAATACTCTAATTCAAAATCGAAACATCGAAATACTGAAAAATCTAAAATTGAAAAACCGAAAAATTGCAAATCGAAATACTGAGGAATCCAAGAATTTTCACATTGAAAAAAGAAAGGTATAAAATCAAAATATTGAAAAACCGAAAATTATAAATTGAAGACTCGTGTAATTGAAAATCGAAAAATTACAAAATCCAAAAACTCAAAACATCAAAAATAAAAAAAATCCAAAAACTGAAGAACTTCAAAACAACTCGAAGACGTTACATATCGTAAAATTAAAAAACAAAAAAAATAAATATAAAAACTGGAATTAAAAGAAAAACTGATTATAAAATCGGAACATTGAAAAACCGAAAAATTGTAAAAATAAAGAAAATAAAAAAACCGAAACAAAAAATTGCAAACTGAAAATTTGCAGAAATGAAAAATTAAAGAATCGAAGAATTGAAAAAATTAAAATTGAACACACCAGAAATTTAAATAAAAAAAAGCATAATCCAAAAACTAAAATTCAAAATTTCGAAAACTGTAAAACCGAAAAATAATAGAATCGTCAAAATTTGAAAGACGAAAAACTGTAACAGTGAAAGATTGGAAAATTAAATACCGAGAAATTCAAAAATTAAAAATCGAGCAAATGGAAAAGTTTTAAATTACTCTAATTCAAAATCCAAACATCGAAATACTGAAAAATCTAAAATTGAAAAACCGAAAAATTGCAAATCGAAATACTGACAAATCCAAAAATTGAAAATTTTCACACTGAAAAAAGAAAATTATAAAATCAAAATATTGAAAAACCGAAAAATTGAAGAAATGAATTTGAAAAATCCAAAACTTCGAAAATTATAAATTGATGACTCGTGTAATTGAAAATCGAAAAATTACAAAATCCAAAAACTGAAAATCAAAACTTTGAAAAATCGAAAAACTGAAGAACTTTAAAACAACTCGAAGACGAATATCGTAAAATTGAAGAAACAAAGAAAATAAAAACTGGAATTGAAGAGACAAAAAATAATAAAATCGGAACATTGAAAAACCCTAAAATTGTAAAAATAAAAAAAATAAAAACCGAAACAAAAAATTGTGAACCGAAAATTTGAAGAAATGAAAATTGAAAAATTGAAAATGGAAGACTCGTCAAAATGAAATTCGAAAAATTACAAAATGTAAAACTTCAACATCAAAAATCTGAAAAATCGAAAAACTAAAAAACTTCAAAATAAAAACTCGAAGAGTTACATATCGTCAAATTAAAGAAACAAAAAAAAAATTAAAAAATAAAATTGAAGAACCAAAAAATTATAAAATCGGAACATTAAAAAAACGAAAATTAGTTTAAATAAAGAAAATAAAAAACGAAATAAAGAATTGCAAACCGAAAATTTGAAGAAATGAAAAATGAAAGAATCGAAAAACTGAATATTCGGGAAATTTAAAAATTGTAAAAATCAAAATTTAGAAAATTATAAAACCGAAAAATTATAGAATCGCAAAAAATTTTAAGTCGAATAACTGTAACACTGAAAGATAGAAAAAATGAAAAATGAAATATCGAAAAATTCAAAGATTAAAAAAAAAACTGAACAAAGGGGAAAGTTTTAAAATCCTCTAATTGAAAAATCGAAAAATTTTAAAATTGTAAAAATGAAGGAAAAATCATAAAATTAAAAATAGCATTACATATTAAAATGAAAAAACGAAAAATTGCAATTTGAATCGAAAAATTGAAACATCGAGATACTGAAACATCGAAAAATTCCAAATCCGAATATGTACGGAAAAATCCAAAAAGTATATTCCCATTGAAAAAAAAAAAAGAAAATTATAAAATCAAAATACTGAAAAACCGTGCAATTGAAATTCGAAAAATTATAAATCTGAATACTGAAACATCAAAAATTTGAAAAATCGAAAAATTGAAAAACTTTGAAATTGAATTGAAACGAGAACTCGACATATCGTCAAATTGAAGAAACAAATAAAATTAAAAACCGAAATTGAAGAAACAAAAAATTATAAAATCGGGACATTGAAACACAGAAAAATTGTAAAAACAAAGAAAATAAAAAACCGAAACAAAAAATAGCAAATCGAAAATTTGAAGAATTGAAAAATTACAGAATCGAAAAATTGAAGAAACAAATTGAATACTCGAGAAATTTAAATCAAAAATTGCAAAACTTAAACACTGCAAAATTCAAAAGTTCGAAAACTGTAAAACCGAAAAATTATTATAAAATCGTCACAAGTTTAAAATCGAAAAACAATCACAGTGAAAGATCAAAAAACTGAAAAATTAAATATCGAGAAATTAAAAAATTAAAAATAGAAAAATTCAAAAATCTAACAAATGGAAAAGTTTTAAAATACTCTAATTCAAAATCGAAACATCGAAATACTGAAAAATCCAAAAACAGAAAATTTTCACATTGAAAAAAGAAAAGTATAAAATCAAAATATTGAAAAACCAAAAAATTGAAGAAATGAGTTGAAAAATCCAAAAATTATAATTTGAAGACTCATGTAATTGAAAATCGAAAAATTACAAAATCCAAAAATTCAAACATCAAAAATTAAAAAGATCCAAAAACTGAAGAACTTCAAAACAACTCGAAGACGTTACATATCGTAAAATTAAGAAACAAAAAAAAAACTGGAATTAAAAGAAAAAATGATTATAAAATTGGAACATTGAAAAACCGAAAAATTGTAAAAATAAAGAAAATAAAAAACCGAAACAAAAAATTGCGAATCGAAAATTTGCAGAAATGAAAAATTAAGGAAATGAAAAATTGAAAAAATAAAAATTGAATACGCCAGAAATTTAAATAAAAAAAAAAACATAATCCAAAAACAATGTATTCAAAATTTCGAAAACTGTAAAACCGAAAAATAATAGAATCGTCAAAATTTGAAAGTCGAAAAACTGGAACAGTGAAAGATTGAAAAATTGAAAAATTAAATATCGAAAAATTCAAAAATCGAATAAATGGAAAAGTTATAAAATCTTCTAATTGGAATGAATTGGAAAAATTCTAAAACTGTAAAAATGAGAGAGTAAAAAATTATAAAATTAAAAATATCATCACATATTGACATGAAAAAACGAAAAATTGCAAATCGAAATACTGAAAAGCCGAAAAATTGAAGAAATGAAAATTGAAAATTCGAAAAATTGGAAAATCTAAAAACTGAAACATCAAAAATCTCAAAAATTGAAAAACTGAAAAACTTCAAAATGAAAACTCGAAGAGTTACATATCGCCAAATTGAAGAAACAAAAAATTATAAAATCGCAACATCGAAAAAACGAAAATTAGTAAAAATAAAGAGAACAAAAAACCGAAACAAAGAATTGCAAATCGAAAATTTCAAGAAATGAAAAATGAAAGATTCGAAAATTATAAAACCGAAAAATGATAAAATCGTCAAAATTTTTAAGTCGAACTGTAACAGTGAAAGATCGAAAAATTGAAAAATTAAATATTGAGAAATTCAAAAACTGAATAAAGGGAAAAGTTTTAATATTCTCTAATTGAAAAATGGAAAAATTCTAAAATTGTGAAAATGAAGAGTGAAAAATTTTAAAATTAAAAGTATCATTACAGATTAAAATGAAAAAACTAAAAATTTAAAAACGAAACGAAAAATTGAAACATCGAGACACTGAAAAATCGAAAAATTCCAAATCAACATACTGAAAAATCCAAAAATTGAAAATTTTCACACTAAAAAAAAAGAAATTATAAAATCAAAATACTTCAACAGCGAAAAATCGAAGAAATGAAAATTGAAAATTCGAGAATTTCAAAAATTAAAAATTGAAGATTCTTGAAATTGAAAATCAAACAAAATAGAAAAATTTGAAAAATCGAAAAACTTTAAAACGGAAACTCGAAGAATTACGTATCGTAAAATTGAAGATATAAATAAAATTAAAAACTGAAATTGAAGAAACAAAAAATCGGAACATTGAAAAGCCGAAAAATTATAAAAATAAAGAAAACAAAAAATCGAAACGAAAAATTGCAAATCGAAAATTTAAAAAAATGAAAAAATTAAAGAATCTAAAAAGTCAAAAATTGAAAACTCCAGAAATTTTAAACTGAAAATGCAAGATCTAAAAATTGAAAAAGTTAGAAAATTGAAAAGCTGAAAAATTTAAACTTGAATTCTTAAAAAGTTGCAAATCGAAGAATTTGAGAAAAAAAAAACATTAAAAAAATTGCAAAAAAATTAGAATTGATTCGTTGAGCTGTACTCAAGGGCGAGGAAAGTTCTGTCGAAATAACCTTGGACCAATTTTTTTTAGATGATAAATAATATTCAAACAATAATTTATTATTAACATCATAATTAAACCGCAAAGTGTGCTTCTAGAAAAATGAATTTATTAAAAACAAATCAGTTTCTGGAAACATCATTAGTACTATTAATATTATATAACCACAAAAATTTAAAAAAGCAAAACAAAACAAAGCGTGATGAACAAAGAAACGTGACATAAATCAAACCATTAAAAACGATACAATACCTACCCGCATTTAAAACAGATAACGCGATAATAAAACAGAAAAAATACTGTTTTATTCGTTATCACGCAGTTGATAGCGAGCTGTTGTCTGAGTCAGGTCATGCAGGCACGCATACCTACATATACATAGTAATGCATACACAATGTTTTTTACTACTGTCTACGATAACACGTAAGTAAATACTTTAACTAAGTATCTTAGAACTCATCTGACCTCGGTCTCCAACGCCACACTCCACAAATTAATTTTCTTTCCCACTTTTATTTTCAGTCCCCATTCTACACACCCTCGGCTCGCGCATCATCGGCGGCAGCAAAATCCCCATCACCGCCACCCCCTACCAACTCATCCTCCTCCGCGCCCGCGTGCACATCTGCGGCGCCGTCCTAATCGCCCCCCAGCGAGCCCTAAGCGCCGCCCACTGTTTCCCCGCCCCTGGCCCCTACTCCGTCAAGGGCGGAGTCACCAACCTGCAAGAACCGGGATTCGTCAGCCACATCAACATGGCCCTGATCCACCCCAATTTCACCAGAACGAACGGCGACTACGACTTGTCGGTTCTGTTCCTAGCCACGCCTTTCCCCCTCTCCGACAAAATCCGGCCAGTGGCGTTGCCCAGAGAGGGTCCGGAGGGCGAAATACGCGCCGGAATGGTGGGGAAAGTGAGCGGGTGGGGCAAGACGACCCATAATTCCGACGAATTGCGTTCCGAGGATTTGAAAGGCGTGGATTTGCCGGTGGTGGCACAGGAGAAGTGCCAAAAGAAGTTCGACTACTTTCAGGTGATAACGGAGAGGAAGTTCTGCGCGGGGGTGGAGAAAGGGGGGGAGGATGCGTGCACGGGGGACTCAGGGGGGCCGTTCGTGGTGGAAGGGGTGTTGTATGGGATTGTGTCGGATGGGCTGGATTGTGCCCAGCCGGGGTGGCCGGGGATTTACACGAACGTGCAGGTGTTGAGGGGGTTTATCAGGGAGAACGCGGAGGTGTGATCGTTGTAAATATTCATAAAATAAATTACAATTAAAAAATTAAAAAAAAAAAGTGTAATACCCCGATATGCAATTCAAATTGCACAAACAATATATTATTTAAATATTTTTCTGTGTTATTATTTTATTAAATATGCTAATGCGTAGTGTACTCATGACATTGAATGAAAGTTAAAAATGTGTCAGTACCTTGTATTCAGTGTTACACATTTCCATATCACCCAGTTGATAACGAGTCGTCGCACTAGAAGGTCACACCAGCACATTAACACAGTAATGCATAAACAATTATTGTTATTACTGCTACCTGCGATTACGCGTAAGTACTTACAGTGGTAATTTATAATTAATTATTAAAAAAACGATTGTCTTTTATTATTAAAAATTATTTAAATTAAATTAGAATTAAAATGTTGTCTCCAGAGGCGGCTTCGCGCATCGTCGGTGGCACCCGCATCCCCATCACCACCGCCCCCTACCAACTCAGCCTGCGCCGCTGGGGCCGCCACCTCTGTGGCGCCGCCCTCTTAAGCCCCACCATCGCCGTAAGCGCCGCCCACTGCTTCTCCGCCCCCGGAGCCTACTCAATCAAAGCCGGAATAACCAACCTCCACGAACCCGGAACCGTCGTCCACGTCAACCTGAGCTTAGTCCACCCGAAATTCATGAAATCCCCCGCCGACTACGACCTTGCAGTTCTGTTTTTAGCCTCCCCTCTACCTTTGTCCGATAAAATTAAGCCAGTGGCGTTACCCAAGGAGGGTCCGGAGGGTCAAGTTCGCGGCGGCATGGTGGGGAGGGTGAGTGGGTGGGGGAAGGCGTCAGCTAGTTCCAAAAATGTGCGTTCTGAGGAGTTGAGAGCCGTGGATTTGCCAGTGGTACCACAATTGAAGTGTAATGTTACGTATTTGGGGAGGGTTACGGAGAGGATGTTTTGTGCGGGGTTGGCGCTGGGGGGGAAGGATTCGTGTACGGGGGATTCGGGGGGGCCGTTTGTGGTTGAGGGGGTGTTGTATGGGGTTGTGTCTGGGGGACGGGAGTGCGGGAGGGCTGGGTATCCGGGGATTTACACGAATGTGCAGGTGTTGAGGGGGTATATTAGGGAGAATGCGGGGTTGTGATTGGTGTGATGCTAATATGGAAAATGAGATCAATTGGTGTTCAAATAAAGGGAGGTTTTTGAACTTTTGTATGTTATTTACCCAGACGAAAAATGTTGCTACTAACTAAAATTGTACATCAATTCAAAAATGAAAGAAAGAAAAAACTGAATAATCGAAAAATTGAAGAAACGAAAAATTGAAAGACCGAAAAATTGCAAATTGAAAAACCGGAAAATTAAAAAAAATCGAAAATTGAAAAATTGAAAAATCAAACAATAGAAAGAATGAAACATTAAAATATCTAAAAATTGAAAACCTAAAAATTGTACATCCAACGAAAAAAGGAAGAAACGAAAAACTCGACAATCGAAAAATTGAAGAATTCAAAACTTGAGAAAGTGAAATATTGAAAAAATTAAAACACCTAAAAATTGAAGAATCGAAAAATTGTAAAACCAAACAAAAAAATTCAAATCGAACAATTATAAAACCTCAAAATTACTAATCGAAAAATTCAAGAAACGAAAAATTGGATCATCGAAAAATAAGAAATTCAAAATTTGAAAAACCGAAAATTTACAGAAAATGTAAACTGAATTGCAGTTTTTGACTTTATAATATTACAATAATCATGCAATTTTTCGTTTTAAATTTGTCAAGTTCTCGATTTCTATTTTTTCAATTTGCCAATTTTCAGTTTTTCAATTTTTTGTTCAAAAAGAAAAACTGATAGACGTTAATTGCAATTTTTCGACTTTTGAAATAAATTTTTCAATCAATTTTGCGTTTCTTGAATTTTTCGAAACATCAAGAAACCGAAAGATCAAAAAACTGAAAAATCTAAAATTTAAAAATTCGAACAAATGAAAAATAGGAAAATCAAAGAACTGAAAAATCAAAAAATGAAAATTTAGATGAAATTGAAAAAGCGACAAATCAAAGCAGTGAAAATTGAAAAATTTTAAATGCAAAAATCGAAAATTAAAAAACTAGAAACATTGAAACATTAAACATCGAAAAATTGAAAAGCCGGAAAAACTAAAATCGAGAAGTCGAAAAATCGTAAAATTGAACAACCTAAGAACTCAAAATTTAATACATATATCGAAAAATTGAAAAAAATTTATATAGAAAAACGTAAAATTTAAAAAATCGAAAAATTGAAAAATCTTAAAACGCATATTGAAAAATCGAAAAGACGCAAAACTGAAAAGTCAAAAAATCGAAAAATTGAAAAATCAAAAATTTTAAAACTCGAAAAATTGAAAAACCGGAAAACCTAAAACCGAGAAGTCGACAAACCGAAATATGGAGAAATCGAAACATGAAAAATCTAAATTTTAAAATTTTGAAAAATTGTAAAATTGAAAAACCAAGAAACTGAAAAATCCAAAAATCGAAAAATTGAAAAATTGTTTGTAGAAGAATCTAAAATTTAAAAATTCGAAAAAAAATGAAAAATTGAGGAATCAGAACATCAAAAAGTTAAAAAATTGAAAAATTTTAAAAATCAAGAAATTGAAAAATCCTAAAAAATGACAAAACGAAAAAATAAAAATCGAAAAATTGAAAAGTCGAAGGGAAATTGAAAAACTGGAAAATCGGGAAATCATATAATCGAAATATCGAAGTTGAAAAATCGAGAAATCGAAAAAACGAAAAACTGAAAAGTCAAAAAATCGAAAATTTAAAAATAGAAAAATTGAAAAATCAGAAAAACCAAAACTGAAAAGTCGAAAAACCGAAAAATTTAGAACAGTAGTAAAATTGAAAAACAGAAGAACTGAAAAATCCAAAAATCGGAAAAATATTATATCCAAAAATTGAACAATTTTATGTAGAAGAATCTAAAATTAAAAAAAAACTGAAAAATCGAAAAATCAAAACACCAAAAAGTTAAAAAATTGAAAAATCTTAAAATTCAAATATTGAAAAATTGATAAATCGAAAAATTTAATAAACGAAAAACTGAAAAATGCCAGAACGAAATCATCGAAAAATTGAAAAATCGAAAAATTGAAAAGACGAAAAACTGAAAAGTCGAAAAATCGAAAAATCAAAAACCGAAAAATTGGAAAAACGAGAAATCGAAAATTATCAAACGGAAAATTTAAAAAATCGAGAAATTGAAAATCGAAAAATTGAAAAACCGGGAAATTGAAGAGACGAAAAACAAAAAATCCGAAAATTGAAAAAATTGAAAAACTGAAAAACTTGAAAATCGAGAAAACGCGAAATGGCATAATCAAAAAATCGAAATATCGAAGTTGAAAAATCGAGAAATCGAAAAGACGAAAAACTGAAGTCAAAAAATCGAAAAAACTCAAAAACCGAAAAATCAAAAAAACGAGAACTCGAAAATTTTTTTTTTTTTTAATTAAATGGAAAATTTTAAAAATCAAGAAATTGAAAAATCCTAAAAAATGACAAAACGAAAAACCGGGAAATCAAAAAGACGAAAAACCAAAAACTCGAAAATTGAAAAATTGCAAATCCAAAGCCTGAAAAGTTGAAAGATCGAAAAGATGAAAAACTGAAAGTCAAAAAATCCAAATTTAAAGTTGAAAAATTGAAAAATCAAAATTTTAAAAATCGGAAAATTGAAAAACCAGAAAAACTAAAACCCAGAAGTCGAAAAACCGAAAGATGAAGAAATTGAAACATACGAAATCTAAAATTTCGAAAAATTGTAAAATTAAAAAACAGAAAAACTGAAAATCCAAAAATCGGAAAAATAATATATCGAAAAATTGAACAATTTTGTGTAGAAAAATCTAAAATTTAAAAAATCGAAATACTGAAAAATCGAAAAATCAAAACATCAAGAAGTAAAACATCTCAAAATTCAAATTTTGAAAAATTGATAGATTGAAAAATTTAATAATCGATAAATTGAAAAATGCCAAAACGGAATAATCGAAAAATTGAAAAATCGAGAAATTGAAAAGCCGAAAAACTCAAAAGTCGAAAAATCAAAAAAAAAACGAGAAATCGAAAATTAAAAATTTTTTTAAGTCAAACGGAAAATTTAAAAAAATCCGGAAATTGAAAATCGAAAAATTGAAAAACCGGGAAATCGAAGAGACGAAAAACAAAAAATCCGAAAATTGAAAAAATTGAAAAACTGAAAAACTTGAAAATCGAGAAAACGCCAAATGACATAATCAAAAAATCGAAATATCGAAGTTGAAAAATCGAGAAATCGAAAGACGAAAAACTGAAAAGTCAAAAAATCGAAAAAAATCAAAAACCAAAAAAAACGAGAACTCGAAAATTAGAATTTTTTTTAAATTAAATGGAACATTTTAAAAATCGAGAAATTGAAAAATCCTAAAAAATGACAAAACGAAAAACCGGAAAATCGCAAAACCGGGAAACCAAAAAGACGAAAAACCAAAAATTCGAAAATTTAAAAATTGCAAAATCAAAAGCCTGAAAAACTCGAAAATCGGGAAATCGCATAATCGAAATATCCAAGTTGAAAAATCGAAAAGATGAAAAACTGAAAGTCAAAAAATCCAAATTTAAAGTTGTAAAATTGAAAAATCAAAATTTTAAAAATCGGAAAATTGAAAAACCAGAAAAACTAAAACCCAGAAGTCGAAAAACCGAAAGATGAAGAAATTGAAACATACGAAATCTAAAATTTCGAAAAATTGTAAAATTAAAAAACAGAAAAACTGAAAATCCAAAAATCGGAAAAATAATATATCGAAAAATTGAACAATTTTGTGTAGAAAAATCTAAAATTTAAAAAATCGAAAAATCAAAACATCAAGAAGTTAAAACATTTTAAAATTCAAATTTTGAAAAATTGATAGATTGAAAAATTTAATAATCGATAAATTGAAAAATGCCAAAACGGAATCATCGAAAAATTGAAAAATCGAGAAATTG